CCTGTCCACAGTCGAGGACCTGCATTTTGACCAAAACAAAGTCTTCACCATGTAGTCAGTCGTCTCTTCCCACATATCATTTCGGTGCTTTTTGCACAACGTGACAACTTCTGTCCTTCCATCGCATGGCAATGAAGATTTGCGTAAGGTTGAAATAAAATCCGGACCCAACCCGATTGATGTGGTCCGCGCCACCAGTTAGTGTCTGTATTACACTTATTACGCGGTATTAAACAGAGCCAACTACTGAGTAGTGCATAGTCGATCACTCCGTACGTGGTTAGGATAGCACGGAAACTCAAAAGTCGTGTGATACAATGACGTGTGTTAGACAGCGCCTGTTCGGACCCAAATAACAGAAGCCGTTTCGCAGTCACCGTTTCCACTGACAACTTATTAGGTTAGGTTAATTGCTAGTTTTTACGTTCCACTTCTGCAACGCAATACTTATTAGTAAACAATATAGATCATATTGTTTACATTGTTCCTTCACTCTCACTTTCCTCATCTTTGGATCACGGGCCAAACTCAACTCGTATTTTATTAAACAAACTGAGAACCCCGGGGTGCATAATATTAAATGTTTGGTCACCAGAGCGTAGTGGAGTCATTACAATCCGATGTTTAGGCACCGCCGGCAACCTCTTTTGAGGGATTCTTACAGCAACCTGGATACGGGGCAGGTGGGCGGCCCTCTATGGGCCCGCCATCGTGTCTTCTGGTTAGTGTTCCTGAGATGAGTTACCAAGCCTATGCAACCAGTGTGTGTGTGTGTGTGTGTATTGGTCTGTATGGGTGTTCGTGTGTGTGCACATACGTACGTAAGTGTGCGCGGCTGTGTGTGCTCTGGCAGGGTGGGGCTACCGTCCGCTATTGTGTTGATTGTGATGAGTCATTGTTGAGACTCCTGCTTGATATCCGGTCACCATGTCTATTAAGGTGAAGTTGTCAAGCCAAGTAAAACGGATGTGAAGATCACTGGAATTCCAACTAAAAGCTGAACTTGCGTTGAGTAACGCAATTCACTCAGGAGATCAGTTGGCCAGCTCAGTTGGCATGTGCTCAGGATAGGGGATGGCCTTAGTTACATGGAGCTGCGTTCAATGCAGCAGTGTTCATGGCTTTGGGGATTGCGCAACTCTCGTAGCTCAACTTCAGCTAACTTAACTGGATTTCCAGAGCTGCCGGTGGCTATTGAAACCCAACAACAAAATATCTGCCCTTGTTTCTGGACGTAGTGTCGGATATGCGCTCCATAGGATGTGCCGAATCGAGTGTCCATGCCCTAGAGGAATGCGATGGATCAATTTTCCGGGGAAAAATTTCAACGCATAGTGTTTCTTTTCTCATTTTGGAAAGAGGTGTGATGCGTGATATAACTAAATCTGGCAAAAGTGGTCTGTTGTATCCAAAGCTAGGTGAACTATCAGGGTAGTTGTTCCTAAAAATCCGGATAAACTTTACTCTTACAGGCTTTTTCAACCTCGAACTTCCTTTGGAGACCTATTGGCAAACCTAATTTTTAAAAACGTAGCACCTCCGTGTTTTTTTTTGCAGGGAAACGATTCACTCCAAATCATTTTGATCCAAAGAAGGCTTTTTCGATCGACTGATCCTAGTGTATAAATAAATCCGGATTGACTAGAAAACATACGTGAAAAAATAAGACCGGGGGTGCATGATCACGAACGTCGGTCCGGCGTAGAACAATAGGAATTATAAAAATGCAAAAGAACGACAGCATAATGATGATAAGAGCAGTCTCTCAGCCACCTAGCTGTCACACCACTCGGTGGAATCACGATGATTGAAATAATGCCAGGTTGACGAGCCCAGACTAGAGCAGTCGAGGTGCCGAGGTCGGATTCGAACTACGGAGGTTCCGGTCATGGAGTTCACGCCTTAACCACTGAGCTGTCCTGAACTCAGTGGTTACCAAAACGGAATTGAGGTACAGCCTGATCAGATAGGCTAGTTTGTTGAACCCATAGCATAGCGGATTCACAGGTGCCTTTGAGTGTGATCGTGAATGGTCAGATTATTAATGGTAGACTAATTTGATTAAACTCGCTAACAGAGCCGATCCTTCAACCACATTCTCGACATTTTGACGAAAGATGCAGCATCAGAAGAACACTCATAATCAGCACCATAACCTGTAATAAATGACATTTTCTGGCTGTAACATCTATCACGTTGACGATGAAATTCCCCACGTTTATTCTGTCCCCAGTTGTAACCCCCGTCCCACTTTTGTGTTTAGTGTGTATATGTGAAGTGACGTTTGTCTGTCCTTACTACTTCACCCATTTGGCTTTGAGGTCTCCGGCCACTCCTAGCCGACTTTGCACGTGTGACTGTCGCACGTGGGAGCCCGTTTGCTCCCTTGGTTTGTAATTTTGTAGTCCAAGTGGAGCGTTTGTTTTGGACGCGTACCTACTGTCGAAGTTTGTATAATTTGTGAATTTGTCTTACACTAATAGTACCGTACAGAAACCCAGCTCCGACTTTGTTTTGCCTACCCGGAGGTTCTGGTATTACGCGTCACTCGAAGATACCTGTTACACTGGCCAAAAACAATGTTAAACCACTGTACATTGCTTCTCCTACTGCGAGAATACTATCCATGAGATTGGTTAAAACGTTCTCAAGCCCGAGGAATCCTCTGGAAACAGGATTTGGTCGTGTTAACCATGAACGAGACCAAAAGCGACCAACAACTCATCCAGAATTGTCTGGTTGGTCATTCAGTCACGCCTGAGCTTGGTCGGTTTTGTATGAAGCCGGTGCGAATGACCTTGAGAACTGCTACCACTTTGCTTTTCTCCATATTTACCGCCATTTTTCAGAGGCAACACTATCAGCATCCACATACGAACACCGGACGTACGTTTTGTTCACTGTGACTATTGTCAAATTGCTCGCATGGCACCAATGGACCCGACTCATTGGCTGTTTAGCCTTTTGCCAGGCGGATGGTGATCAGCGCCATCTGCCAGGTTAGCATACCGATTGTTAGTAAAATAATCCAAAGAGCAACAAAATCAAAACAGTATTTTTATCACGTTAAGATGGTTCCAAACAATGAAAAAACATCTCGCTGTCATTTATGGGCTGACTGCATAGTTAAGGTGGCCACATCTCAAAATGCAGGTGCTGCTTTTTGAAACTGATGGGTTTACAACCTCAGTGCGCGCCACTGTGCGCATTTTTCAGGTCGCACTCTGTTCAAACAATTTCCGTCATTGAATGGATGAGCGCGAAGTTTGCATGTACAGCTCGCGACAGGCTACACCAGTCAGTCTGACAAGCGGAAAGTACCGGGGGCTATCCAATAAACGCGACCAGATAGGCAGTGTGGACTTGGTAGGCAGCCGAGACCACTACCAAGTTAGGACTTGTATGCGGTGGCAGCAAACCATGCGAATAGTGCGCCAAACATGGAGACAGAAACGGCATTTCTGGCCATTCGTTTAGTCTCGCAAGAAAAACAAACACCAGTGAACATGCAGCAACAACGGAACTGCCAAGGGATCAGTCGTACTCAGCTCCTCGCGATATCTCGGATATCGTAGCGACTGAAAAATGAGGCGGCCTGGTGCAGTACATTCAGTTACCTGAGAACATCATAAACGAGACATTCGGCTGGGTTCCAGGTGAGTCTCTCAAAAAAACCAAATTTGTTTGCAAAGGAGTGTATATTCGCTAAATAAACAAGCTCTTTTCGTCTGACCGATTTTCACGTCCTTGTCAGTCTTGTTTTGTTCTAACCCACCAGGAGCATGAGCATAAGTAGCTTCCGAAAAAATTAGCTTCCAAACAGAACAATTTGCCGTACGCAGAAAACGGATTGAAACTGTGGTAGAAATGAGAGCGGATACAGCACCATAGGTCCCAGTGGTCCCACTTAGTACAAATCAGCAAGCCTCGCACGGGCACACACTTAGTAGAGAAATCTCTGAAGCATGGATGGATGGTTTTACGATGGCTTGTCGCTTGTCGCCAAACAAGTGGTGCTGTGTGGTGAATACTATCAACTCCGATTACTTGGGACGCCAGCGATGCAGCCACTGCACTTCGTCGGCTTTCATATGTTATATGCGAGGCAACTTACGAAATTAAGGAAGGCCGGACAGTTTTCTAACATGACGGACGAGAAAATTTTTTACATTCATGGTTGGACAAACGAGGGTAGATTTTTGCTTGCGTCATTTAGTTTTTTGCTTAAGTGTCTGGAGGAAACGTGCTCGGTTAGTCTGTATTGCAAATGATCCTGAATTAAAGGCAAAAACGAAACCGATTGTGGGGCATGTGTGGATCATTTCGTAAACCTTAATAATGCTGGGCTATCGGAAAGTTTAACAGCAACCTTATGAGTAGCTTACTGCGTCCTAATGATGGTACTTGTGCTACGGTTTTTTTTCTCTCACAATACATAGTCTATCTGCTGTTAGGTGTAGACAATGAGTGTGAAGTTTCTTCGGTCTGCCCAGGGCTTCCAAGCACCATTAGATGAAACACCCCTCATGAGACGTGACTGCGTAATAAATTGATCCCAGTCTCCATATTGGAACTATAAGTCCTCATTATCACACCGAATATACCATCTCCCATGCTAAGTGTCACCATCTTCAGAAGGTGGATTTGCATATTCACACCAGGTATGAAACGTAGATGACCAAACAGGTGACGCTTTGCAACCAAAACCTCACTATATTCTGTTTGTCGCAAAAAAATGGTTTCAGCCAGTAATAAATGAGCAAAAAAGCTCCAGCTTTTATACCAGGGCATTCAGGTAAATTTTCCAAGACTTACCGATCAACTTTTTGAAATTAAGTGTAAAACGGAAGATGATCTGGAATAGTAAGCTATTCATACACTATTTGAGCTCCCATTAGTCTCTTTTGAACAGTGTCCACCTGCCTTAAGGCAAATATTCTGGTGAGGCCACACCAAAGGAGGAAATTACTGGACTCGGTTTCCGCTTCTAGTAAAGTTCACTAGCAGTGCAAATTCTTGGCAGTGCGGTGATTTGAACTTTGGGCGTCTGACACGCAAAGTTTTCTTGTTACAACTGATCCAAAAGCACGGGGGGACGCATCTGCATCTTTACATCTGAAATGGCAACTATGTTCACGCATGATTGATTTGCCCGATATTCCGAACAATGATGAAGTAAGTATCCTGGTTGTATCGATCGATTGACCCGCCTATCAGAACTCCTCAGTCAGATAGCGCTTGAAACCACGGTATACCGACTTGGTAAGTAAATGGCCAGTTACATCCATTTCCATCCACATTCAGGAAAGAAGATAACGTTTCTGGGTGGAATTTTCACCACTGAACGTTTCGATGACCTCGAACAGCCTTCAGCAATAGCCGACCTATCTATTAAAGGAATACGTGTCAATCGGTGTTAGCATTGAAACAGCCAACATTCTATGCAGTATCCCGATTGGTCAGCATC